AACACACACACACACCACACACACACACACACACACACACACACACACACATGGAATACATCGTCGCGTTCGACGAATTGTGTCATTGATGAGTCCTTTGATGCGAGAACAAGCCTATTGTTGATGAACATCGACGACCACAGGATCCGCAAACCCACACCCCTGTGCTGTTACCATCCCGGGCCACCTGCTTACGCCGTCCTCTTTTTCCAACTAGAGTTGCAATGCGCGCCTCCTCAAAGGCGGAAACTGCCGCTTGTGAGCGTGTCTTCCACCGTGAACGCTCAAGCGCAACGACACCCAAGGTTTTAGAATCCAGTCCGACTTTTTTTAGATTTTTCTTCAGATTATCTTTAAATCTGCGAACTGGACCGCTTGCAAGGCGAACTCCAGAAGCCAGCTGTCCGAAAAACACCTGTTTGGGAATTCTTGTGTCCGGCATGCGGATAACATGTCCCGCCCAACGAAACTGTGCCTGTAAAAAAAACGCCTCGATACCCAAGATACCTCAGATTTCCAATACAGTCGTATTTAGCACCCTATCCTCCCATTTAACGTTAGCGATAACCCGTAGACATCTCATATGAAACTTATCGAGTCTACGTATATGGCGCCTATAAGTAATCCATGTCTCACATCCATACAACATTGTGGTTAACACAACTGCCTTATAGACAGATATTTTAGTAGCCAGCGACACACCCCGTTCCTTCCAGAGTCGTCCACTCAAACCACCAAAAGCAGCACCAGCCTTGGCAATCCTAACCGTAATTTCATCATCGATTGCAGTAGTGTTGGAGAGGTAGCTACCAAGGTAGCAAAATCGATCCACAGCGTTCAACTGCGAGCCACCAATAGTTACGATGGCTTTAGAATCCGACGAAATAGGATAGCTTTGGTGCAGAACCTTTGTTTTCTTCCTGCTCACCGTGAGTCCAAACCTTTCTGCAGTAGTGTGGAAACAGTTGAACAGAGCCTGAACTTCACTTTGTGTATGTGCAACCAAAGCGCAGTCATCCGCAAAGAGCAGGTCGCGGACTATTGTGGTTTATGTTTTTGACTTCGTCTGTAGGCGTCTGATGTTGAAAACGTCTCCATCCACGCGATAGCAGATTGGAATGCCCTCTACACAATGTTGAAAGGCAACTCGAAGCATTAGGGAGAAGTAAATGTTGAACAGCAAGGGAGCCATGACACACCCCTGCTTGGTACCATTCGTCACCTCAAAGTCCGGGGATCGATCACCATTTTCAACTACGATTGCCCTCATGCCTTCATGGAAGGAGCGAATAATCGACACTAAAATCGGAGGACAACCGATCTTTTTGAGACATTTCCATAACGCTGAACGGTTGACGGAATCGAACGCCTTTGTTAAATCTATGAAGAGGAAGAAAAGTTCGCGTTGTTGCTCACGACATTTTTCTTGAAGTTGTCTGGCAGTAAAAATCATATCCATAGTACCACGACCAGCCCGAAAGCCACACTGACCCTCTGGAAGGATACCAACATCATTGACGTACTTGGTTAGGCGGTTGACGATCACGCGAGCCAATATCTTTCCAGGAATCGATAGCAGAGAAATGCCTCTGTGATCATCACAGCATGAACGATTCCCTTTCCGTTTAAATATGTGAATGATAAGGGCATCCTTAAAATCTTGAGGAACCGATTTCCTATCCCACATGTCTTGGAACATTGTCACCATCCTGGTTTTTTGTTCGATGATACCACATTTGAAGAGTTCTGCCGGCAGCCCGTCCAAACCCGGAGCTTTTCCATTCGACATTTGGGTGTATTGCTTTTTCCATTTCAGACAGGCTAGGGGGATCACCTGCAATGCTCCAGTCAGGCAACTCAGCAAGGACTGAGTCATCAAACCGGGATTCTTGATGTAGCACACTGTTGAAGTGTTCAGCCAACGAGCCAGGATTCCATGGCCATCCTTGATGAGTGTTTGACCATCTTTAGACAGTACCGGGACACTACCGGAGCTGCGGGAACCAAACACAGTTTTCAGATTTCTGTAAAATGATTTCATGTTCCCGCGGCCGGCCGCTACTTGCAATTCATCAGCTCTGGCAGACCACCAAGATTCCTTCATCTGACGAAGCCTCCTCTGTGCAAAACTTCGTGCTTGCGTTTAGCATGCTTTCTTGACGCAGTTGCCCCTGTCATCTATCCAAGAAAGATGGGTGCTGTGCATGTTGTCCAGCAGCCCACGTGCCTCCGTATCCTGATCGTCGAACCAGTCCCTATGCTTAATACGCTGATATCCAAGCACATTAACCGCAGCTTTCTCCACAATCTGCTTGAAATTTGACCATTCTGTGCTCTCATTTGTTGAAAACTCACCACACAATGCTTCGCGGAACAAATTTCTAGCTGACGGTTCTGTTAGCCGAGTCACATCCAGTTTGGCTTTCCTTACAGTTTTGTGAGGCCTTCTGACCGGTTTCACAATAAGAAACACCGACATCTTGATGAGGCGATGATCTGACCACATTGTTGATGCTCGCACCGCTTTAGTTAGACGAGCGAGACGAAGATCGCGTTGTCTGATAAGTATGTAGTCGATGAGATGCCAGTGTTCTGAACGTGGATGTTTCCAGCTAGTCTTCTTCCTGTCAGCCTGTTGGAAGACTGTATTTGTCACCACAAGATTGTGCTCTGTACAAAATACGAGGAGCATGGTTCCATTTGAATTTTCCCTACCAACTCCATTTCGTCCAAGCACTTTTGGCCACAAGATGTGGTCTTTACCCACACGGGCGTTAAAATCACCCAAGACAAACAACTGATGGCTGTGTGGTGTTGAACGAACAGCGTCACCGAGCTGCTCATAAAACAAGCTCTTCTCCTCAAAAGTTGCTCCAAGCGTTGGCGCATAGCAGCTGATCAAGGTAGCAGTGTGACCACCCTCCAGGTTGAGCTGCATCCTCATTAGGCGTGGTGAAATACCATAAGGTACCTCATGTACAGATTTCAGGAGTGTGCTACGAATGGCAAAGCCCATTCCACCAGTACGCACCTCACCTGCAGGATGACCTTGGCAAAAGAAGGTGTAACCAGCACCTCTCTCCTCAAACTGTGTTGCTGCAGAGATTCTTGTCTCGCTGAGCGCAGCAACATCGATGTCATATCGCGCAAGTTCACGCGCAACAATGGCAGATCGACGCTCATGACACTTCCCAAGATCCAACATTGTCCGGACGTTCCATGAAGCCAAATTTAAAATTTTTCTTTTCTTTTGACCGCATAATAGGATACCCAGTCAGCCGCGGTAGACTGACAACGTCGGCAACATATTGGCTAGCTTTTTTTAGGACAGATTTTTTAGACACACACACACACAAATACATTCAAGAACCACAGAGAGCAAAAGTATTTAAATGTTTAAGCTTATGTACAGACATCAGTATATGAATGAAAACTATAAACTTTCTTCCTCACTCTTTCTTTCTCTCTCTCTCTCTCTCTCTCTCTCTCGCTTCATTTCTCTTATTACTTTTCTCTCTCTTTCATTATTTCTTTCTCTTTCATTATTTCACTCTTTCTTTTTCTTTCTCCCTCTCTCACTCTTCCTCTCTTTGCATATGCACAGGTACAATATGATTGAAAGAATGCAATGCATATGTTGCATCTGTTATTCAGCTAAATAAAATATTATAACAGGCAGAACAAAAAAACACACACACACATAAACACACACACACGTAAACACACACACACGCACGCACGCACACACACAACACACGCACAGTTTTACTTGAAGGGTGGCTGGCTATGCAATCAGGTATTTTTCATTTAAATTATTTTAAAATTTTATTATCATTATTATTTACTTATTATTTCTGCTTCACTGTTGTTATATAGTTGTAACAGCAGTGGCAGTAGTAGTAGTTGTTGTTGTTGTAATTATTACTACTATCAAGATGTAATGTTATTATTATTATTATTATTATCATTATATAGTTTGTATATTTTTGTGTGTACATACATACATGTATATGATGTACGCGGGGAGCTGTATTGATCTCATTGATCTGTTATATAAGTAATACTTGAAATACTAAATAAAGTAATTAAATTTTATATTATTATTATTTTATATTACTGTTTTGTATTTTATTATTTTATATATTATTATTATTATTTAACAATTTAATAGCATTTATTAGAAATTAAAATCAAGCATGTAATATAATAATGGATTGGAGCTATTTTTGGTATTATATATATATATATATATATATGTGTATGTGTGTGTATGTGTGTGTTTGTGTGTGTGTGTACATGATGTGTGTGTGTGTGCGTGTGGTTGTTGCAATTTTTTCACAACGTGTTACACATTTAAACGATTGATTCGTTTATCAAGTTGTTATTGTGGTGGTGATTGTTGCTAGGTAAGTAAGCGAGAGTCGGCTATGCGCTTATTTTGTAAGTTATTTGACTGAAATTATAAACAGTTTTTGTGTTAATTAATTGGTAATGTAGTTAATCAATTATTTAAATAGAAAATGTAATAAATTCAATTGAAAAGTTTTATTAAAAAATATTGATAACAATTTATTTAATTTTTTCAGAACTTTCAACCTAACTCATTTCAAACAAATCCTTGCTGAAACATTGAAGTATCTTACAGACAAAAATTTCAAAACGCATCACCAACTCACTTACATTCCCAAAAAACTAATCCACCTAGATGGATAAATGTCGGGAGGAGATTTTGAACGAAGTGGATCTGGTTGAAAAACTGGGACTTCCGGGTCGAATGATTGTCTTTGGTGAGAGTGCTGAATCCATAATAACAGGACAGAATGAAGAGGACACCGTGATTGCGGCTGCTGAGTATGGAAAGGGGAGGATTGTCGGGTTTTCGCATAACGCCTACGGAAGACAAGTCAGCGACTTGAAAAGTGATTTTCCAAATTCAACACTCTACAAAAATATTCGGAGCTGGCTTGTCAGAGGATGTGATAAAGCTTCGCTTAGATTTTGTAAGTTAGACGATTTGAATGAAACTTTTGATGTTCCAACTTTGAAAGAGAATTTTGATATTTTGGTGTCGTTAGGAGCGAGGGAATCTCTCGATGTATCCGTGGTTGATGGTTACATAAAAAATGGTGGGGCATTCATTTACGCCACTACACCTTGGGGGTGGGCACAGTGCAACCCCAACAAAACTGTCGATCAAATCCCGTACGGACAGATTCTTCTGAGTGCTGGATTTGGTTACTCGTTGGATATCGCTAAAGATCACAATGGTGGCTTTCTTCCAGATTTGAGCAAGGGCTCAACTGCCAATATTTGTAAATGTTTCAAAGGTACACAGACTCTCGATAAAATAATTGAAAACTCCGCATTACTGAACAAAATTGTCGAACTCCCACCCAAATACAGCGCTCAATTCAAAACGAATGTGGAAAAATTCTGGAAACCTGCCGAAGAGAAACTGAAAAGTTTGTATCCAAACGGTAAGATATTGTGTAAAGACTTAGCTCAACGTAAAGTTCTCGATCTGTGGCAATTCGTAGCAGATCTTCAGGCAAACCAGCACTTCAAGGCTCCATGTATCCACGTATTCCCTGGTGATTACGTGGTTGATTCACCTACGCTGGCATGCAAGGCGGTGAAATATTCATCCGATAGAGATGCCTATTTTTTTCCTGGTTGTTACGTCGCCGCAGGTTCGAAAGCCACCTTGGAAGTAACATCGCTGAGTGGAGTTTGGAGAATTTTTATTGGGGCTCACACGGATATCTTACCTAACCCGCAAGTTAATCGCTGGCCCAAAGCTAACAGAAAAATTCAAATCCAATCTAAAGGAACTTTCGATATATCATCTTATCTGGGAGGTAGTGTGGTGTTTGTGAGCCCTGGAGGTTACAGCAGCATTGAGGCAAAACTTTTAAACGTCGTTCCATCTCCTCGCTATGATTCCCAAGACGAATCATCGCGAAAATCATGGAAGGAAAGCAAAAATTCTACTGGGCTGTGGGCGGATATTTCAGGAAGGTACGTGACGATCACAGTGCCGTCAGCTAGCGTAAGAAATTTAGAAGATCCAGGCCCCGTAATGAGCATGTACGATACACTTCTGAAACATTACCACGATCTGAGAGGCACTGACATCGACAAGCACCGGAAGATGTGGATTGTGGCGGACGAACAACCAGTTGCTGGCTACATGCATGCCGGCTATCCCATCGTAACTCACATGGATGTGGCCGATCCCAAAAGAGATAACTTCCTCCTCAACGAACAAGGAATAAAAACCAAAACTGAAAGCTTCTGGGGGATTTTCCACGAGATAGGCCACAACATGCAGCAGGGAGAGTGGACGTTCGAAGGTACTGGGGAGGTGACGGTCAACATTTTCACCCTCTATGCCATGAAACAAATTGGAAACATGGAAACGTGGATTCATCCGTGGCTGAAGAAGCATGTGGAAGCAGGCATCAAATACGTCAATCACGGAGCTGATTTCAACACATGGAAAAAGGAGCCGGGTACTGCTTTGCTAATCTACGCTCAACTGGTGAATGCATTTGGCTGGTCTATCTTCAAACAAGTTTTTCGTCGCTACCAAAATTTACCCGCAGTGGAAAAACCCAAAAATAATCAGGAAAAGATGGATAAATGGTTTGTTATATTTTCCGAGGAATGCAAATTCAACTTGGCTCCATTGGCAATATATTGGGGATTTCCAATCACTGATGATGCTATCAACAAGATGAACGCACTCAAGTTCCATAGTTTTCTGCCGAGTGACCAGTTGACTGAAAAAACACCTGCAAGAATTAAAATGCTTTCCGAGAAGTTTCCTAATCTGAAAAGAAATTGTAAAAAATGATCTTATTCATTCAAACGTTTGTTCTTTCATTCATTCATTCATCCATCCATTTGTTCGTTTGTTTGTTCGTTCATTCATTCATTCGTTCGTTCATCCATCCATTCATTCATTTAACTGAATGACTTTTTATTTCGCTGACTTATTTGTTAATTTGCCATTTATTTGAGAGAGCTTATTCTATGGTATGTAGCAGACAAATTATTTTCAAATGACAAACATTTATAAATTTTATTTTTTTAAACTTTAACATCTTGATCAGTACCTAGCCGGTAATAGTTTTTTTAAATGAAACTTAAAACTGCCACACATTAATGTATTGATGTATTAGTTTATTTATGACTTTTAGTTATATCCATGTACTACTGCATACTCGTGCCTTAATTTTATTTTCTCAGTATTACAAATCTTCTTTTTTATTTTCCTGTTTTAAGGGTTTTTACAAGTTAATTATATGCACGGTTAAGTATATTTCAGTTTCTGGTACAATGTTTTCAAAAATTACAATTTTTTAAATTTAAACATTAATTACACAGACATTATACTAATTATTGATAATTGCATTATTAGTTTTAATAAAATAATTGTTTCAATTTTGTATTTTCTATTTTGAGTTGATGTAGCAAGCCTAACGAACTTTATAAATTTTACGCTCAACTCCAACGACATGAAATAGAATTTTTTTCATAAGTATGTGGAGTGTGTTATGTATTTGAACTGCCTACAAGGCAAAAAATATATTCTCCATTTCTCTCTATCTCTGACTGTCTTTCTTTCTCTCTCTCTCTCGCACACACACACACACACACACACACACACACATTTTTGTATATCATATAGAACTTACCACACAATACGTACACACACACACACACACACACACACACACACACACACACACACACACACGCACGCACACAGACATACACAATAAGTTTTCCGTCATTATCAAAATTTATCCGCCTCAAAAAGACCCAAAAACAATTAGGAAAAATCAATAAATGGTTTTCTATTTTTCTCAAAAGTGTAATTTTAGTTTAGCTCCATAGCTCCACTGGCCAAATATTGGGGCATACCCCTATCTGAAGGGGCTGTTGGAAAGAAAGTTGAATGACTTGAGGTTGGAAAATTTTTGATAAATGATGATAAAATACTTTCTTCTTACTCTTTATTTTTGAAATTCTTCACAACACTTGAACGTACCCAAATATTTTTCACCTTTCAACCGTTCTTAATTTTCAAACAAGTATGAGGTGCAACATCCAGATGATATGCCTGTTTCAGAACACTTTATTTCACAATTTTAGCCGCGTGTGAGACTATAAACAGATATATGAAGTTGAATGGGTATATAGATAGATAGGGAAAGATAGGGAGGAGTGAGAGAGAGAGAGAGAAGAGAGAAATAGTGTTCACATGATAATGAATATGCTTCAAAGAATCTTTTAACTAAAAAAGAACTTTTAAATAAAATGACCTACAAGCATCTGCAAATAATTAAGAGATTAAACAAATAACTTAACGAGGTGCTACTACAACCGCTAGGAAGAAATTTATTTTTGACGCCACTGAAGCGACTGTGCGTGCGATGCTGCATAAATAATTGTTCAATTATTAATATTATTTATTATTATTATATGAAGAATTATACGAATAGGAAAACTATATAGGAGCGTTCTCTCAATTTGGATGAATGCAATATTAGTTTAACACAAATGTTATTTCATCGTTATTATTGTTGTGTGTGTGCGCGTGTGTGTGTGAAAAATGTATACATAAAATCAAAAAATTTTTAATCAAATTTTTACTAAATGATAATGATATAATATAAGGCAAGTGGGAGAAAACCAAGTGCATCAATCGTATTTAAATAAATAAATATATATATAAATAAATAAATAAAAAATATATATATATATATATACATACATACATAAATTAGTTTGTTGATACATCTGATTTTTTTCAGATATATATATATATATATATATATATATATATATATATATATATATATATATATACATACATACATTAGTTTGTTGATACATCTGATTTTTTTCAAGTGTAGACAATTATAATTGACGTTAATTACGTTCGTTGTATTCAATTAAAATTATAAGATTTTTATCCGTTAAAATCATAGATTTAGATTAATATTTTGTTTTATTTGTTTTTTTTTCTGTAAATTATATATTTGAAACCATAATTTTAGTTTAACTGAAGATCGCCATTGCGATGTTACGAAAGATTAACTTTAATCTTTAACAATGTATGAAGCGCAGAGCAGTAAGTGTATTAATGAAAGTAGTACAAAAGATTCTTTTGAGTGTTGTTATTGTGAAGTTCTTATTAATAATAAACCTCTGGATTATTCTGAAGAAACATTACGCGTTACAGCCAGCAAGAAAAACTTGAAATACTATTGCAATGATTGTTTGAAGTTTTCAGAAAATACCTTAAGTCGTTTGGCAAACTTATTGAAATCCATTTGGATACTAATTATTCAATTAATTAATTAATTAACTAATAAACCAATTAATAAATACAAAAAGTGTTTATAATTTCTTATATTACGAAATAAGTGAATATCAGACGCTTGCCAACTCACCAGAAAACAATCAACACAATAACGACATTATAATCGGATCAATGGATTAAATGTGTAAAACACGTTACAAAAATTTCAACACGAACATACACGCACACACACACACACACACACACGCATGCACACACACACACACATATATAATAATAAGAATAATAATAAGAATTTTAATATTTTTAATTGATAAATAATTATTAATTAATTAATAACAAAAATAGTAATATTTTTAATTGATATATAATGAAAATAAATATATAATTTTTTCCATTTTTACAGAATTTTCAAGTTGAAGCATCTCCAAGAAATCCTTGCTAAAACATAAAAAATATAGGACAAAAAAACTTCAAAACGCATCAACAACTTAGCCACATTTCCATAAAACGAAGTTTGTCAGGATGGAAGAATGTCGCAATGAGATTTTGAACCAGGTGGAAATTGTATATAAAATAGGACTTCCGGGTCGAATAATTGTTTTTGGCGAAGATGCGGAATCCATAATAACAGGAGAAAATGAGGAAGACACCGTGATTGCGGCTGCTAAGTATGGAAAGGGGAGGATTGTCGCATTCTCACATGATGGTTATGGACATCAAGCCATCAACCTGAAAAGTGATTTTTCAAATTCAACACTCTACAAAAATATTCGGAGTTGGTTGGTGAGAGGATGTGTTGAAACGTCAATTAGATTTTGTAAGTTAGATGATTTGAATGAAACTTTTGATGCTCCAACTTTGAAAGAGAATTTTGATATTTTGGTATCGTTGGGAGCGAGGGAATTTCTCGATGTATCCGTGGTTGATGATTATATAAACAATGGTGGGGCCTTCATCCACGCTATAACGCCTTGGGGGTGGGCACAGAAATATCCCAACAAAACCGTTGATCAAATACCGTACGCACGGATTCTTGAGTGTGCTGGACTTGGTTACAAGTTGGATATTGCTACAGATCACAATGGTAGTTTTCTTCCCCATTTGAGCAAGAGCGCAACTGCAAACTTATTTAAATTTACTAATATGGAGAAATGTCGCAAGGAGATTTTGAACCAGGTGGAGATTGTACACAAGCTTGGAATTCCGGGTCGAATAATTGTTTTTGGCGAAGATGCGGAATCCATAATAACAGGAGGAAATGAGGAAGACACCGTAATTGCAGCTGCTAAGTATGGAAAGGGGAGGATTGTCGTATTCTCACATAGTGGCTACGGTCTCCAAGTCATCGACCAAAAAAGTGATTTTCCAAATTCAACACTCTATAAAAATATTCGGAGTTGGTTGATGAGAGGATGTGTTAAAACTTCACTTAGATTTTGTAAGTTAGATGATTTGAATGAAACTTTTGATGTTCTAACATTGAAGAAAAATTTTGATGTTTTGGTATCTTTAGGAATGAAGAAATCTCTCAATGTATCCGTGGTTGCTGATTACATAAAAACTGGTGGGTCCTTCATTCACGCCACTACGCCATGGGGGTGGGTACAAATCAACCCCAATAAAACCGTTGATCAAATCCCGTACGCACAGGTTCTTGAGAGTGCTGGACTTGGTTACAAGTTGGATATCGCTCAAGATCACAATGGAAGTTTTCTTCCCCATTTGAGCAAGAGCGCAACTGCAAACTTATTTAAATTTACCAATATGGAGAAATGTCGAAAGGAGATTTTGAACCGGGTGGAAATTGTACACAAGCTTGGACTTCCGGGTCGAATAATTGTTTTTGGTGAAGATGCGGAATCCATAATAACAGGAGAAAATGAGGAAGACACCGTAATTGCGGCTGCTAAGTATGGAAAGGGGAGGATTGTCGCATTCTCACATAGTGGCTACGGACTCCAAGTCATCGACCAAAAAAGTGATTTTCCAAATTCAACACTTTACAAAAATATTCGGAGCTGGCTTGTCAGAGGATGTGATAAAGCTTCGCTTAGATTTTGTAAGTTAGATGATTTGAATGAAACTTTTGATGGTCCAACTTTGAAAGAGAGTTTTGATATTTTGGTGTCGTTGGGAGCGAGGGAATCTCTCGATGTATCCGTGGTTGATGGTTACATAAAAAATGGTGGGGCTTTCATCTACGCTATAACGCCTTGGGGGTGGGCGCAAAATTATCCCAACAAAACTGTCGATCAAATTCCGTACGGACAGGTTCTTCTGAATGCTGGATTTGGTTACTCGTTGGATATCGCTAAAGATCACAATGGTAGTTTTCTTCCAGATTTGAGCAAGGGCTCAACTGCCAATATTTGTAAATGTTTCAAAGGTACACAGACTCTCGATAAAATAATTGAAAACTCCGCATTACTGAACAAAATTGTCGAACTCCCACCCAAATACAGCGCTCAATTCAAAACGAATGTGGAAAAATTCTGGAAACCTGCCGAAGAGAAACTGAAAAGTTTGTATCCAAACGGTAAGATATTGTGTAAAGACTTAGCTCAACGTAAAGTTCTCGATCTGTGGCAATTCGTAGCAGATCTTCAGGCAAACCAGCACTTCAAGGCTCCATGTATCCACGTATTCCCTGGTGATTACGTGGTTGATTCACCTACGCTGGCATGCAAGGCGGTGAAATATTCATCCGATAGAGATGCCTATTTTTTTCCTGGTTGTTACGTCGCCGCAGGTTCGAAAGCCACCTTGGAAGTAACATCGCTGAGTGGAGTTTGGAGAATTTTTATTGGGGCTCACACGGATATCTTACCTAACCCGCAAGTTAATCGCTGGCCCAAAGCTAACAGAAAAATTCAAATCCAATCTAAAGGAACTTTCGATATATCATCTTATCTGGGAGGTAGTGTGGTGTTTGTGAGCCCTGGAGGTTACAGCAGCATTGAGGCAAAACTTTTAAACGTCGTTCCATCTCCTCGCTATGATTCCCAAGACGAATCATCGCGAAAATCATGGAAGGAAAGCAAAAATTCTACTGGGCTGTGGGCGGATATTTCAGGAAGGTACGTGACGATCACAGTGCCGTCAGCTAGCGTAAGAAATTTAGAAGATCCAGGCCCCGTAATGAGCATGTACGATACACTTCTGAAACATTACCACGATCTGAGAGGCACTGACATCGACAAGCACCGGAAGATGTGGATTGTGGCGGACGAACAACCAGTTGCTGGCTACATGCATGCCGGCTATCCCATCGTAACTCACATGGATGTGGCCGATCCCAAAAGAGATAACTTCCTCCTCAACGAACAAGGAATAAAAACCAAAACTGAAAGCTTCTGGGGGATTTTCCACGAGATAGGCCACAACATGCAGCAGGGAGAGTGGACGTTCGAAGGTACTGGGGAGGTGACGGTCAACATTTTCACCCTCTATGCCATGAAACAAATTGGAAACATGGAAACGTGGATTCATCCGTGGCTGAAGAAGCATGTGGAAGCAGGCATCAAATACGTCAATCACGGAGCTGATTTCAACACATGGAAAAAGGAGCCGGGTACTGCTTTGCTAATCTACGCTCAACTGGTGAATGCATTTGGCTGGTCTATCTTCAAACAAGTTTTTCGTCGCTACCAAAATTTACCCGCAGTGGAAAAACCCAAAAATAATCAGGAAAAGATGGATAAATGGTTTGTTATATTTTCCGAGGAATGCAAATTCAACTTGGCTCCATTGGCAATATATTGGGGATTTCCAATCACTGATGATGCTATCAACAAGATGAACGCACTCAAGTTCCATAGTTTTCTGCCGAGTGACCAGTTGACTGAAAAAACACCTGCAAGAATTAAAATGCTTTCCGAGAAGTTTCCTAATCTGAAAAGAAATTGTAAAAAATGATCTTATTCATTCAAACGTTTGTTCTTTCATTCATTCATTCATCCATCCATTTGTTCGTCCATTTGTTTTTTTGTTTGTTCGTTCATTCCTTCGTTCATTCATCCATTTTTTTAACTGAATGACTTTTTATTTCGCCAACTTATTTGATAACTTTGCAATTCATTTTGAAGTATTATCCGTATAGTAATTTTATCGTTTTATCGATAACTTTGCAATTCATTTTGAAGTATTATCCGTATAGTAATTTTATCGTTCAAATAATTTTATTACTGTTATATCACATTTTTGTATATCAAATAGAACTTCTCTTATTTTCTTGTAGTACATGCACTGCACACACACACACACACACACACACACACACACACAGACACACACACACACAGATACATAATCTAACTCAACACTTTTATGTAATCAATTAATCAATTAATAAATTTTTTCGATAATAAGCTTACCTCAATTTGCCGTAATTATATCAAAAATAACCAAGATTTGGTTTGTATTAATAGAAAAAATAAAATTTAAAAAGACTTAACAAAACAAAGCAAAACATAGTAAATAAAACAAAAGTTTTATTGTTCAAAGTTTCATCGTTTAAAATTACATTGAGAAGTTTCAACGGATTAGCATACAGAGATTAATTTGTTTAATCACCATGAGTTGTTTGATTAATCGTTTATTTCCGCACCTCTAATGCTAAAACTTCAAATTCTCCTTTTACACATTGCACGGCCTGCCAGAAATAAACTCATATTTCAGATAAATTAATATTAAGAAAAACCTAATACGCTCAAGGAAATTACTAATTTATATTTTTTTATTAGAAATAAAAAAAAAGCGCGAGTATTAGCAAAAGAACTAGCAGAATATATATATTAATAACACAATCCCGATCGACTTGATAATAATCAACCGTGAGATTATCGCCTGTGCTTTCATTTTAATAGAATTTTTTGCAAATATTTTATTCTATCAACTGTTTGTTAACTTGTGGATGTATTTATATGCGCCCAAAGGTTTGATAAGATTGTAAACAAATTTTGCTGTTTTTAATGTTACAACATGACCCTTGACACGGCGTGTTATTTTATTTTACTACTTACTAGCATCCAGACAAACGCAAAGTAAATTTTGGTTTCTTGTTAAATCATTTTATACAAAAATTATTTTATTGGATGTTGAGTTATATTGAAAAATAGTGTAATTAACAATGTTACACTGAAACTTTTCACTGACTACTATTGACTGATTTTATTTTACTAGCTCCACAGAATCTTTGAATGGATAAGAGAAATGGAGAGACGAAATATTACTTGGCGTTGAGCGGGTCGAAGAAAAGTACTTGCCAGGCCAGATGATCGTTTTTGGCAGCAAGGCAGAACCGATAATAACAGGGGTTAGGGAAATCGATGCCGTTGTGGTTGCCGCTGAACTCGGGGAAGGTAGAATCGTCGCGTTCTCACATCCATATTATGTTTCAGATTTAACATACCAAAAAATTAATTTGCCAAATTGGAAATTTTATCAAAATATAATCAAATGATTAATTAGAAAAAATGATACTAACTCAATTAAGTTTGGGTTTTTGGGTAACTTCAAAAGACTAATTGATGTAAGAACGTTGCAAGAGAAATTTGATATCTTGGTGGCGTACGGTAGTACCGAACCTCTCAATCATTCTATTTTCTGTAACTCGCTTGCATATGATTTCGTGAAGAACGGTGGGGCTTTGATCTACTCGTTTGCACTGTACTGCTGGGATAACTCAGATCCGATAGAAATGATGAATCAGATTCCCTACGGACACATTCTTTTAGAGGCTGGCCTCTGTTACTCCAATACTTTTGCTAAAATCCATAATTCGATAGAAACAAATTCCAACAAAGCTGAAAATGCAAATCTGCTCAAGTTTTTGAAGAGCAAGCCGACTTTTGAAAGTTTGTTAAGCAATGAATCATTTTTGAAAACCATTTTTAAAATTCTATCAAAGTACGCAATAGAGGTGAAAATGGAATTAGAAAAAATTTGGATTGAAACGGATAAAAAATTGAAATCATTGTTCCAAAAAGGAGAAATTGATTGCAAAAATTTGTACGAACGTCAGGCGGTTGATGCCTGGCAGCTTTTAGCTGATCTACAACCTAATCAACAATTTAAAGCACCTTACATCAATATTTTTCCTGGCGATTATCAAAATCTACCAAAATTAGTAGAAAAATTTGTCGGATTTTCTTCTGACAAAGATGAATATTTCTTCACGGGGGCATATGTAGCTGCTGGTTCGAACGCAACTTTGGAAGTAACCAAGGTAACAGGAAATTGGAAAGTTAATATTGGTGTTCACACCGACATTTTATCAAAAGTCAAAATTTCTCGATGGCCTAAGATGGTAAAAGTGGTTGATATAAAAAATACTGGAGTGTTTGATATATTGTCTTACATTGGAGGTTCGGTTGTGTTTGTCAGTTTAAAGGGAGATTCAAACATTGAAGCAAAACTTTCGAATATTGTAATATCTCCACGCTATGATTCTCAAGACAAATCATCACAACAATCATGGAATGAAAACAGGAAACAGCAAGGATTGTGGGCGGATATTTCAGGAAAATATGTAACGATTTCGTTGTCGTCATCAAACGTGATAAATTTAAACGACCCAGATCCAGTGATAGAGATATACGATAACATACTCGTACATTATTACGACTTGAAGGGTGTCAGCATCGTTGAAAGCAGGAAAATGTGGATTGTAACCGACAGACAAACATCAAGCGGGTACATGCATGCCGGATACCCAATCGTAACTCATTTGGACGTGGCAAACCCAAACAATACAAATTTTCTGCTGTGTGAACAAAAATTGAAAACACATACCGGTAATTATTGGGGAATATTTCACGAAATCGGTCACAATATGCAGGAAGAAGACTGGATGTTTGACGGGTTGAACGAGGTGATCTGCAACGTTTTTGCGTTGTATGGCAGTGAAAAGATTGGAAACACCGATCCATGGAAACATCCATGGCTAAGAAATTCCGATAAAAAAGCAGTAGAACATTTAAACAACGGCTCAGATTTTAATGTTTGGAAAACTAAGCCAGAAATTGCTTTGTATGTTTATGACCAGTTGGTAAATCTCTGTGGTTGGTCGACTTATAAAAAGGTTTTTCAACGTTATCCTTCATTACCCGAATCAGAGAAACCGAAAACTAATAAAGAAAAAATTGATAAATGGTTTACAATTTTTTCAGAAGAATGTAACATGAACTTGTCTCCATTGGCTCTCTTCTGGGGAATCCCACTATCAGAAAATATCACGAAATATTTGAAGTTTGAAATTCGACTGCGTTCTGCCAGACGACGACGTCACGCAAAAGAGTCACTCGAGAGTTCAATTCGTCTCTCAGCGGTTTCCCGGTTTGAAGAGAAAATTGAAGTTATAGAGACGGTGAAGCAACGGAATTTTAAAAATTTTATGACTTTTTTATTGGCTGTGGTTCTGTTGGCGGGTTAAATAAAGAATTGTTAATGAAATTTTCCAAATGTCACGCCTCCGTACTTTATCTACATACCAGCAAATTAAAAAAAATTAAAAAATCTCAAATGTATGTATGTATGTATGTATGTATGTATGTATGTATGAATGAATGCATTTATGTATGTATTTGTATGTTTGTGTGTGTGTGTGTGTTGTGATGTACCGTTGTTGCATGTTTGTGTTATTATATATATAATTATATATATAAGTGCGTATGTACAGACGCTAATGTAATCTATTTTTGCGCTAAAAAATGCTACCAAGAAAAAAGATAGAGAACTGCATTTTTAAGAAAACAAACAAGTGATGAAGTAGAAGCACTTATTTGAACGGCATTTAATGAGAAACCCCCTCGCCACGTCAAAGCAGCCGTTCATTGTATATCCTTCTTAATTTTTTCTGCTTTGGTAGTATAAAATCAGCCTTAATCTAACTATATATATATATATATATATATATATATATATATATATATATATATATATATGTATATATATATATCATACGTATGACGTCAAATTGTTTAATTTTTGTAGCGCGAGATATTCACAGAGCACTTGCTTAATACGTACATGCACTTTTGGTAGGAATATTATTGTTTACATACACATTCACCAAGGTATGGTTGTGACATTTTTACTGTTTATAGTGCGTTATTGTTAATATTATTATTATAATTAATATTTTATATTAGTTGTTATTATGATTAATATTGATGATAAACAATTATAAATAAACAATGTACACATGTGTATATAATATATGTATATTATATAGATGTACGCGCACATGTACATATTAAAATACAAAATTATTCAGCAATTTTTTCGATTTTAGACAGTTAATAATAAAATAATAACTTTTATTTATTTTGTGAAATAAAGAAAAGAAGTATAAATAATAATTATTATTGTTGCTATTATATGTTTATTATCATTATTATTATGCTATTATTACGTGGCGAGATGGTAGAGTAATGGTTAAAGCGTCTAGTATTGCTGTTGCTTTGGCCGAGTTTGAAAACAATGAGAACCCCGCTTATCACATGCAATGCCTGAAATGCGTGAATTGTTTGCGTGTGGTGTTGATACCTCCGACAATAAATTACTAAAATTTAAAAAATTAAATTTAAACAGAGATTGAACTATAGCCATCCAGAACTTGAAAAACGAAAAAATTTTGGAAAAAAAATGTCTGCCTGGTCCAAAGAGATATTAGCTGGTGTTGATACATTCCACATCAATGGGTGCCCGGGTCAGATAGCAATTTTTGGGACCCATGCCGAAGCAATCATAATGGGGGCCGACAAACATGACGTCATTTTAGCTGTGGCCCAGTATAACAATGGACGGATTGCCGTATTTTCTCACGATAGTTACGGTTACGAGATTTGTCAGTTAGGTGGCAATGATCCTAATCGTAATGGTGGTGACAATGATGATGGTTCTAATAGTGGTGATAGTAGTAGTGAAGATGGGGAGGAATGTGAGAATGATGAAAATGTAAATTTAGTTTTGCACAAAAATTTACGAAAATGGCTAACCTTCGATAAGAAACCGGATAACGAATTGAAAATTCTGGAAGTAGCTGACATTTCTGAAGACATTGATTTCGAGAAGTTGATGACGTATGATATTGTGGTTTGCTATTGCCCTGAAGAAAAATGCCCATCCAACCTTATTGAAGAGTATCTCAAAGCCGGGGGGGCCCTTGTCCACGCCACCACACCCTGGGGCTTCATTCAACTAAACCCCAATATGACCATCATTGATTTTCCTTATCTCAGAATTTTGCACGCTGCCGGCATTACGTTGTTAGGGGGAGTAGCTGAACTTGGTGGAAGAAAATGTTTGCCAACCAATAATGCAAAATTGAATGAGGCTCGATTGACATTTTCCTTCCATGACCAAGATGATATCGTTAGGTTTTTAGAAAATACACATCAGCTGGCAAAATTAAACAAAAATAAGTGTTTTGATCAGTGCGAGCAAAATGATTTAGTGTGTAATTTGTGGCCACGCGTCTGTGAATCAGTTGAAAAAATGTGTCCATCAAATGGGATTAAATCTGAAAACATATTTCAAAAACTCATCTTGGACACCTGGAATAATATTGTTTGTATGAGAAACGAATGCTGCAAAGCTCCAGGTATAAAAGTCTTCCCCGGAGATTTCGAAGACCTTCCGCCTTTGATTGACAAGGAGGTTCATTTTGAATCGAAGTTCGAAGAGGTGCATGTCACGTCGTGTTACGTTCCGGCTGGCAGGGAGGTGACAGTTGAGGTGAAACGCCTCGTGAATAATTGGAAAATTTTAATCGGTGCTCACACAGATTGTTTAGATTTAGTGAAAGTAAACAGGTGGCCAGTCATCTGCAAAAAGATTGATCTACTTCAAAGTGGAAGTGTTACATTTTCTAGTCCTTACGGAGGGTGTTTGTATTTCATGAGCTCGAATAGAGGTGACGGGGTTATTGACGCCACTGTTCGGAACGTTGTACCCTGTCCGGAGTTTGATCTTTCAGATCCGGCGACAGCAAAGAATTGGAGTGAGAGAAATAATTGTCCTGGTTTGTGGGCCAATTTATCCGGTAAACACGTCATTTTCACTTTTCCGAGAGCAAGTATCTTAAAGTTAGATGACCCGACAAACATTTTGAAGATGTTTGATGAGTTGATAGGACACTATCACAACCTGCGTCAGACAGATGTGAACGATTACAGAAAGATTTGGATAGTAGCTGACAAACAGCCAGTGGCAGGCTACATGCACGCTGGCTATCCCATCGTAACCCATCTCGATGTTGCTAATGACAATGAGGAATGTTTCCTCCTGAAGGAATCTAGCTTCAAGAAGGGTTTATTTTGGGGTATATTTCACGAGATCGGTCACAACATGCAGCTGCCTGAATGGACTTTCGAAGGGACGGGAGAAGTGACGTGCAACATATTCACGCTCTACGGAATGCAGATGATGTGTGGCATCGATCCTTGGATACACCCCTGGCTTAAAGACAACTTACCGAGAGCTTTGAAGTATTTGAATGAAGTGGAGCCATCTTTCGAGGAATGGAAGTCTTGTCCTGAAGTGGGACTATTTGTATTCGCTCAACTTATCAAGTATTTTGGATGGGATATGCTGAAGAAATTATTTGCCTCATTTAAAAGTTACAGACCTAAATTAAATTCAGAACAGGATAAAATCGATAGGTGGTTCCTTATATCTTCTGAATTATCCGGTTTTAATTTGGCTCCTTTGGCTTATCTGTGGGCGATTCCTTTGTCGGTTGGTGCGAGAGATGTGATGGCGAAACAACCGATTTTCCAGTTTCCTGAGAAAGATCCGTTGTTGGATTTGGTGCCGGGAAGGGTGAATCATGTCAAGAATTATTTTCTCAAATAGGACTTTGATTTAAAAATATTCATTTTAAAATATGTATCCGTATTCATCTACGTTTTTCAGAATTTTTCCACAGTGTCATATTTTTCACAATTTTTCACCATTTTTCATCATTTTATCCCCCTCACATGATCGCGTATTTTTGATTTTTTTAACTCCAACGTTAACCAATTCACCGTACCTTTACCAGAATTGTTTCTGTCACGTGTATCATATCCATTAGGTTTTTGTCTAATCACACGTACAACATGCACCATCACGTACACAACAACAACACACAACACGTACACAATGAATAAACCTAATTAAACGAATTTTTACATAATCAAACAAATTTAAATTTTCTGACGGAGGCTTGGTGCGTGTAATAACGATCTTTCATTTGATGTCGGAATTCTTTAAAAGGAATTTTATTATTTTGGGCTTTTAGATGCTTTTTTATGAAAAAAAAATAGAGAAAGTCTAAAAGTTATAGAATGAAAAATTTCAAAACGACTTCTATCTACGTTAAAATAAAATTAAATGCTAGGTGGCAGACCAAACAGATTGTATATTCAAGTATGTATGTATGTCTGAAGTAAGTATGTAAAGAACATAGATCAATGATTAGAAATTTACAATAGTCGATCAATAAATATTAATTAATTAGTTAATTACCCAATTAAATTTTAATTATTTAATTTAATAAAATCGTAATTTTCAAGGTTGTTAAGTTTATAACTCACTACTACCTACCATAGTTAAACTTTCGACTGTGTGTAGGAGATAGATAATGAATCTATAATGAAAAATTTAAATATTTTTTTTCCGTTATAAATCGTAATTTCTCGTCTTGGCCATCATTGATTGTGTGTATATTTATGAATATATTTATGTGTATATTTGTGTTTGTGTGTATATATGTATATATATATATATATATACATGCAAGTATACAAGCATATGTTTACACAAGCATATGTTCAGCATCATCACCATTATTACAACAGACATCATCGTCACAACAAACATCATCACAACGAGCGTCGTCGTCTTTACCATCATCATCATCACCATAATTCATCATCGTCTTTCATCATCGTCATTAATTCTAGATAGAAGCGGAGAGATAATAACAAAAGCAAATACTAGAGAGATATCAATATTGGCAAATTATTATTATTATTGCTTTTATTTATTTATTATTATTATTATTGTTTTTCTTACTTCAGCTACTACTACTACTGCTGCTGCTACTACTACTTCTACTACTACTACTGCTGCTGCTGTCGCTGCTACTACTTCTACTACAACTTGCTACTTCAACTCTTTTAATCCTAGACAAGAAACATGCCATGAATTAATAAAATTCATTCATAAACAGTAGCATTGTAAGTACCGCTGCATATTGTGAAATACTACACAAGTTAGACGAGCGACTCATTAGTATTAGAAAGTATCAAAAGTATAGAAGGAAACAAAATGGCTTTCATAGAACATACACTGAGATATTTTTCTCTTTGGCTGATTTTACAGAAGAAATCTCGCCAGTGTATTTCACTGCGTGTTCACACTCGCGCGCACATACAAACAAATTCATTCACGCATACACGTACAGATACACATACAGACACACACACATGTACACACTGTCTGGTAGTGTTTATGTGTGTTTGTGTGTTAATGTTCTGATATATATATATATATATATATATATAGCATATATAAAAAATGCATAAATTCATATGCATTTATAATAAAGATGCATACATACATACATACATACATACATACATACATACATACATACATACATACATACATACATACAATATTGTTTATACAAAACATACAACATGCCGAGCTGAAGCAACGGTGCTATTGTGACCAAGCAAGCAATGACCACAGAGATACGAACGTGATGGGTATATATATACAAAGCGTATACAAATAAATACGTACGTTCGTATGTATGTATGTATGTATGTATGTATGCATGCATGTATGCATGTATGTATGTAGACGTGTTGTGTTGTTGACTAGTTAGGCACGACTCGCGACTTAATTCAAACCTAACACGTACGAAATAGAAGCGTGATGGCACGCATACATACACACACACACACACAAAAACACACACACATATACATACATATATATATGCACACATTCAAACACATACATACAAACATACATACATACATACATACATACAAACAAACATATATTCCAACTCGCCCTTATATGTCTATGGCGTTGGGCTTGCGTCAATTATAAAAATCCTAAAATCGGTCTAATGATTGCGTATATGTGTGCGTGTGCGTATGTTTGTATGTACGTTTGTTTGTATGTGTGCATGCTTGTATGTGTGGTGTGTAAGTTTGTTTGTTTGTATGTGCATGTTTGTATGTGTGTAAGTTTGTTTGTATGTGTGTAAGTTTGTTTGTTTGTATGTGTGCGTGCGTCATTAATAACGACGAATATAACATTGGCAATTCACGCCTCTGCATGTGAGCGATAATAATATACCGACCATAGAACAATAAACAAAAAATAATGACTACCAAGAATAATTAACAATGATAAATAAACATCGCTAATCAGTTTCTAAACGATGATGAAGATGACAACGAAATGTTTTAGTACTATTGTACAATGCTTTAAATACTCTAAAAAAGTACTTCAAATAACAATGTCGTTATGAATGAATTTATCAGATATCTCAAAAAGAAATAGTCATGAATCACTCTGTATTCGAACCCGAACAGCCTGACACGGAAACAATCCCACGCTATTAACCATTACGCTATCGTAGTGAGCTGGTTAGTGTAAAGCAATTTGATTGATTAAATAAATAAATAATTAAATGTTTATTCGCGGATATTTCATTCCTCAAAAATGCTCAACTAACGAAACATTAGAGAAAAAAACCATCAACAAAGCGAAAGTGAAACAAAAAATGAAAAAAATGCCATTGAAGGAGAGAAAGAGAGAGAGAGAGAGAGAAAGAGAGAAGTAGAAAAAAAGATGAAGAGAGAGAGAGAGAAAAAGGAAAAGAGGGTGAGAAGAGAGTTATTGGTAGTACAGTCAGTCTGTGGTCAATGTTTATCCACCAATATCGTCCTTCACTGGGTTTGTTTGTATGTATGTATGTTTGTATGTATGTATTTTTGTATGTATGTATGTATGTATGCATATATGTATGTATGTAAAAAAAAATGGCGTCCAGCTCGCTTGTAATAAATGAGTTCCTGTATTATTTAGAAAATAATTGGAACTTAGTTGAGAATGAAACGTTTATTAATAATATATCTGAATTTTATATTTATGAAAATATTGTAAATGCAATTAAATTGCTAAAAAGTGAATTAAATAATTTTAAAATTGAAAAAAGTGAAAAATTGCAGTCGCGCGGGAACATGAAAATTGAGAAAATATTGGAATGTATATCGTTAATTAAACAGTTGGAAGAAAACAAATGTTGGGACAAATGTCCATTATTTGTTAGTTGTAATTTAAATAAAGTTCCAAAGTCTGAAAATAAACCAGAAGTAAATAAATTGAAAAATAAATTAAATTCTAATGTTGTAAGTGACTTCAGTACTGAAATGACAAACAAGGAGGGACAAAAGAAAAATGTCAGTAGTTCTCTGTGGTCAGACATAGCAAAGTCAGAAGACAACGGTACCCCGTTCTCAACTGTAAACGGAAAAAAAATCACGTCAAAATAACAACAATTGTGAGAAACAAAACAACTCAAGAGAAACCAGCAACAACCCAACAAACAACAAACAAACTGGAAAAAAGACAGCTATGAAAATAATCGGTAAAAAAGTTTCAAATGATTGCAAACTGAAGGCAGATAAAATCTTAATGAAAAAATCTGTGTTCTGTTTAAGCAACGTCAGCAAGTGCCACAGAAATGATGTGATGGCCTACCTAACCGACAATGGTATCCATGTTGTTTCCTGTTATCCCGTACTCAAACAATTCAATAAAATGGCACCAGCTTCTACAGCCGACGTCAATAACAATAATAATAGTCAAACTGAAAATAAAAAAACAGATGAAGAAGAATCCAGTACGTTTAGAGTTTGCATCGATAGCTCTGATTCTAAGAAAATGAAAGACCCTGACATAATGCCCCAGCACATTATAGTACGCGAGTGGCAATTCAATAAGAAACCAGAAACAATTGTCGATCAAACAAAGAAAGATGGATAAACAACATGTTGATAATGATGATGACAGCAGTGATGATGAAGAAAAAGACAATTTAAACCCCAAGCAAACTACATGTAAAAAGTATGACAATTTTAAGTCGTTGAATGATGAATATAAATTAATAAATAAAGATTTTGATAGCAGTATGTTTTTCAACTTAATGCATTTGAACATAAGAAGTTTGGTCAACAAAACCGATGAATTAGAAAGCTATTTGTCAAACAGTCACATCAAATTCAATGTAGTTGCGGTAACAGAAAGCTGGTTAAACGAACGTACTGAAAGTTTTGTTGGCATGGATGAATATAGATATGTAGGCAAAAATCGTCATGACAAACACGGTGGAGGGGTTGGTTTCTATGTCTGTAATGATTCTACCTTTCGAATAAGAGATGATTTAAATACCATTGGCTCGCCAAAGTTTGAAATGTTTGCAATAGAGATCATTAACAATTTTAAATCTAAAAATTCAATTGTGATGGTTAGTTATCGACCTCCAATATACGAAATTAAACAATATTTTAAAAGATTAGAACAAGTTTTACAAATAACTAGTAATGAAAATAAATTTGTTTATCTTTTGGGGGATCTAAATATTGACTTATCGCCAGAAGTTAGCAGTATAAATAAAATTCAATTGAACCAACTTGTGACATGTTACAACCTCAAATCCATGACCACAGTTCCTACAAGAATCAGTAATACAAAAAAATCCACTATAGACATTTTGTTTACAAATCATCCAGAAAATATTATACAATGTGGTACCATTTTATGCGACCTATCAGACCACATCCCACTTTTTGCTTCCACTAATCAAAAAATAAATAATAAGACAGTTGCTGACGTTACATTTTCAAAATATTCTTATTCAACACACAGAATAAATAACTTAAATGAAGGTTTATGTAATGCCGATTGGACAAGTGTGCTGAGCTGCGATAATGTAGATGTGGCCTTCCAAAATTTCATCGACATCTTTCGGTTACATTATAAAACTTATTGTTCAGTGACCTCTAAAAGACAGGCTCAGAAGATGACAAAAAACAAATCGTGGATAACTAAAGAATTTAAAAAAATGTTAAAAAGAAAGAAAATGTTATATAAAAAATATCTAAAGCACACATCGTCAGACAACTTTACAGCACTCAAATCATGCAGCAAATTATGCAACAAGATCGAGTGCCAGTTGAAAAGACAATATTATTTTAATCTTCTACAAAAAAGCAATGGCGACAGCAAAAAAACATGGTCAATCATCAATTCTTTAACGAAACGAAATAACAAAAAAACATCAACAATTCAATTAACTTTAAATGATGATCCAATTGATAATCCTGAAACTATCCTCAATAATTATTTCATCAATCAGGCCTCAGATATGCAGCAATCATTTGTGGAAGACACAAGATGGAAAAATTATCTTCAAAATGGGTCAGTAAATTCATTTTTTTTGTAACCGTGTTTCATCATCTGAAATCATTTCAACCACAGAACTTTTCAAACCCAATACGTCGAGTGGTTACGATGAAATATCAACCAAAATAGTAATATCAACAATTAAATCAACAGCAACAATTCTTGAATATTTAATCAACTTATCACAAGGGCATCTTTCCTAAGTGCTTCAAGACATATAAAGTTGTTCCAATTGCAAAAGAAAGAGGTAACTCAGAGGTTAAAAACTTTCGACCTATATCTTTGTTGCCTGTTTTTTCGAAGATTATTGAAAAATTGATGCACAGTCGTTTGCTCAAATTTTTTGAAAAAAATAACATTCTTTCTAATCATCAATTTGGTTTTCGAAAAAACCACTCAACTGAAATGGCAATACTGGAACTGATTCAAAAAATTGGAGTCGCAAGTGAAAAGAAAAATTATGTAATTGGAATATGTCTCGATCTGTCAAAAGCTTTTGATTGTATTGACCATTCGATTTTATTACACAAACTTCATCATTGTGGTATAAGAGACTCCAGTTTGACTTGGTTTCGTAGCTACCTTTTATCAAGATATCAATTTTGTTACCTGGAACAATAAAAATTCAAGTAAATTGATCAACAAAATAGGCGTTCCGCAGGGCAGCATTTTGGGACCATTGTTATTCATAGTGTTTGTGAACGATCTACCGATGGCCTCGAAATTTTTTAATTATGTTTGTTTTGCTGACGATACAAATGTGTTCAGCAAAGGAAAAGATATTAACATGCTCATCAAATATACAGAAGAAGAAATTAAACATGTTAACTCTTGGTTCTCACTAAATAAACTTACTTTAAATAGTTCTAAAACGCAGATGATAATCTTTGGACCAACTCAATATTTAAACTACAAAGAACCTTATAAAATTAAAATAAATAATATTGATATCTATGAAAATAAAACAGTTAAATTTCTGGGCGTTCATCTAGATCAAAAGTTAACGTTCCGTGATCACGTTAATAGTGTTACAAACAAACTTGCCAAATCAACTGGTCTGATGAACAAGGTGAAATTCTACCTCACAAAAAAGAGTCTGAATTTGTTGTATCACTCACTTTGTATGCCACACGTGATTTATTGCAACATTGTCTGGGCTGGCACGTCTCCTTCAGTCACGGATCCGGTTAAACTTATGATGAAAAGGGCCGTCAGAACCATCACCATGTCAACGATGAGGTCTCATACCAAGGAGTTATTTACGACAACCAATAATCTTAATTTTAATCAATTGAATATTTATCGTACTTTGATTTTTGTGTATAAGCAGCTTAATAATCAATTGCCTAATACGTTTGCTAATTATTTTAAACATGCTAACAGTCATAGGATGTCTAATTATTTGCAATCGAATAAATCAAAAACTAACATTTTACATTCGCATGTAATCTGTAAGGGTCCTAGGACCTGGAATAACATTATTAAGAATGTTTTTCAATATAAGGCGAAATCGGCTACTGATTTTTAAAAAAAAGTTAAATCGTTTTTAATTAACAATTATTAAAATTATTATCCTTACTAATAATGTAGAGATGTTTATAAAATCACTAAACATTTAATGTCCTAGGACCTGGAATAACATTATTAAGAATGGTTTAATTTAATTTAATTTAATTCTATGATTAATAATTTAATAAATTATATAAGAAATGTATTTACATCATGAAATTTATGTTCTCTATCTATAAACAATTTCTGTTGATATTTTTAATGCGATTATAATTATTTATGAAACATTATTTTTTAGTTAACTACCTTTTGTTTTATTATCTGTTATTAACATACTAACAACTAACAATGTTTGATATTAACCACAAAACTCTGAACATATTTGTCTAGGTGGCTGTCCTAGATGAGCCCATTAGGGGCTCCATCACATTAATCCTGTCTCTTATTAATTATCTGTAATTTTGAGGAGCAAATAAAATTTCGTTTCGTTCGTTTCGTTCGTTTCGGTTTCGTTTCGTACGTCCGTACGTACGTACGTACGTACGTATGTATGTATGTATGTATGTATGTATGTATGTATGTATGTATGTATGTATGTATGTATGTATGTATGTATAGATGTATAGATGTATAGATGTATAGATATACGAATGTATGTATGTATGTATGGGTGTATGCAGCTTGGTATCTTTTCGACACCTTTCTGTATCTACCTTACATGGGATTTAATATAGTAGGTTTTTTAAAAATTCTGTGATAAATAAAAATAATAATAATAATAATTGTGATAACAATAATAATAATGATAATAGCGCAAATAATTTGGTTTAAAAATAATAATACTCTTTAGTATTGGCGAGAAATCTGTTCGTCAAAATCATCACAAAACAAAGGATTAGTGAAGATTATAGTAATAATAATAATAATAATAATAATAATAATAATGAAGTAATATTAATAATAAATTTAATTATGTTATTAATACTAGTATTATTATTTTAACAAAATCGTCTCAAGGCGTTTATTAATAATTTTATTATTAATAATTACATTATTATTATTATTATTATTTAATTACGTCATAATATTTATAGGTTGCTATACGAATTTTATTTTTACTGAGTTGTTAGATAATTTTATTTAGACTCAGATGTTTTGCAACAGCGAAATTATGAAAATAAATATACGCTAATAATGAAATTGATCAATATTAATAATAAAATATGTATAATTATGACTATAACTATAATAATATAATATAATAATAATAAATAATAATAATCATCGCTATACAACTATTGAAATAGAATAAAATTAAATTTTCACATCTTTAAAGAGAAAAAATTAACAATACTACTACCACCACCACCACTACTACTACCACTACTACTACTACTACAACAACTACTACTACTACTACAACAACAACTACTACTACTAGTTCTAAAGTAATTATAATATTAATAATAATAAAAACAAAATGATATTGGTATAGTTTAACCATTCGGATTATTATAACTAAGGGACATATTCCACAATATTGGATAGTGCATTTTTTTAAAATGTTGGTTATTATTATAATTGTTATTATTATTATTGTTGTTGTTGTTGTTGTTGTTATTATTGTTATTGTTGTTGTTGTTGTTATTATTGTTATTGCTGTTGTTGTTGTTGTTATTGTTGTTGTTGTTATTGTTACTGTTGTTATTGTTGTAGTTGTTGTTATTATTGATATTGTTGTTGCTGTAACGATCTTTGGAATGAAATTTTATCTTAATCATCATCTCATCAAATCGTTTGTATGATACTTTTATTTATTCATTTTTATTTGTTAGTTTGTTTGTGTATGTGTGTGTGTGTTTGTATGTTTGTATGTGTGTGTATGTTTTGTATATTTGTATGTATGTGAATGTATGCGTGTATGTGTGTGTTTGGATGTGGGTGCATGTTTTGTATGTTTGTATGTATGTGTATGTGTGTGTGTGTGCATGTGTGTGTGATGTGTGTGCGTGTATCATTCCTTTTGTATGTATGTTTATGTGTGTCTTTATTTAAGTATAATAATAATAATAACAACAATAATAATATTAATAATAACAACAATAATAATAACAATGGTAATAATAATAATAATAATAGAATTCATAGAACTCAGCATATATGGTTTGAGTTTATGAGAATTTCAATTATTTCGATGAGGCAACATGCATATAAGATAAGATGATGTGTGTGTGTGTGTGTTTGTCTGATTGTGTATGTGTGTATGGATGTTTCTATGTTGCTTTAAGTTAAATAAATATGGCCAATGTATTCAAGACAAAGAAACATATATAAGTACACAAACATAAGTGTATACAAATAAACATACATCCAGACAATTGCATACATACTAGCTAATAAACTAACATATAGGTATACAAACATACAAATATGCAAACATACAAATATGCAAACACAGAAAGAACTGTACGATCAAAACAAATATAATGTAGATTGTGATTTATCTAACGATATTCAATCTATTGTAATTACCGATGAATGAGCATGTAAGTATGTTTTTTGTATGTATGTATGTTTGTTTGTTTGTATGTTTGTTTGTTTGTTTGTATATCTTTATGGTTGTATGTTTGTTTGTTTGCTTGTTTGTATGTATGTATGTTGTATGGATGTATGTATGGATGTATGTATGGATGTATGTGTGTATGTATGTTGTATGTATGTATGTATGTATGTATCATCATAATCATCCTCATCATCATCCTCATCATCATCCTCATCATCATCATCCACTATCAAACGAGCACATGAATTAGCTAGTCATGCTTCGTTGGTTAGCTCTTTTTTTTCCATATCCATAGCATCTTTTTTACTTCCGGTTGTTTAATTCTTTTTTCACTTTTTCTGTCTTTCCAATTTCCTCCTTTTTCTTGGTTTCTCTTTCACTCTTTCAATCTTTTAATTCGTATCTTTAATTCTTCCCCAAAATGATAATTATCATTTCACTATTGAGTTGCACAATCATTGGCGCGTTCTGCAATAAAATGGATTTATTTTAAATAATAAACACCTAATCTATGCTCCACTCTCTCTCTCTTTTTCTTTCTCTCTCTCTCTCTCTCTCTTTCTCTTTTTCTCTTCCTTTTCCTCATTCAACGTGATATCACCAAATTTTTATTTCACTCATCTATCGCGATTGTCTAACCATTTTAAGGTAATTTTACTGTTGCAAATCTGCCTAGATTGGGATAGAAGAATTTCAAGCACACAACACCATCAACATAAAAACAAAAACAACAACCATATCATTTTTGTCATCATCAGCAGCAGCGTTAACAACAACAACAACAACAGCAACAACAACAACAACAACAACAACAGCTGACCAATAGTACGCAATATGACATGTACCTACAGCAGTGTGACAGCGTTAGCAGCTGTTTTATTCAAACACTCAGCTACCAACAACAGCAGCCACAACAACAACTACAACAGAAGCCACGAAAGCGGCCACAACTTCCAAAAAATCAGCTTCAAAGTTTTAATAAGAAAGATGAAAATAGAGGCCAACAAATACTACCCTATATCCACCAACAAAAACAAACTATTGACCAACAACAACAACTACCGCAACTATTATGCCGCCAACAACTACTACTGCAACAACTTCCAATACTACTACTACCACCAACACCAGAAATGTCGCAACTACAACTACCTCTACTACCTCAGCCACAACAACGATCGCTTTTACTACTGCTACTACTACTACAACAGCAACAGCGTCAACAGTTTGAAAATGGCGAATCGTGCGCGGATAAAATCATTTGGCGACGAAAGGATTTCGGCGAATTTAATTTTATGCAATGGCATACGCGCATTTTACACTCAACACTACAGCAAAGACATCAACAAATGCAGCAGCAACAACATCAACAACAGCAACTACAACAACAGAAACAGCAAATTAGTGTTTATGATTTCATCCAGCTTGAGTTCTTTCAACACAGCAATCACTATCATAACCAACAACATCATCATCATCATCATTATCATGAATGCGATTATGAAAAAAATCTGCATAAAAACACGCCCTTATCTACGCATACAACATCATCGCCATCATTATCAGTACTGCCATCATCATCATCGTCATCATCATCTCCTTTTTCAACATCGTCATCATCATCATCATCGTCATCGTCATCAGCATTGTCTTTTGTTTTGCAGCGGAATATTGAATCCTTTATATTAAGAGACTCTATAGTCTCATCAAACGATTTTCTACACACTTCTCATCATCATCAACATCACATTCCTAGCACTTCACAACAACGTCGTCATCATTGTCATCATCTTCATCATCATCGTCATCATATTCATCATCAGCAGCAACAGCAGCAGCGTCGTCATCGTCGTCATCATTCCAAAGTAACAAACCTTCCCAAACTAGATTATCCGGATCGCAATTATCAAATCCGTATTCCGGGCGGGCAAAAGTTTCGCCCAAAAAACCAAAAAATTCTAATTAAAACATTCTGGAAGTTTTACCTCTGTCCAACTCGGCTCCAAAAACCAATTCGACACCAAAAAAATTTTGCCAGAAGTGTCGTTCGTTACGTCATAGAGACGTTTCGGTACAGATTTACAAATAAACCGAAGATTAAAAATAGTAAAGGTAACAGAGGTTTGGCAGGAAGAAATTGTAACAGAAATTCGGTCTTTTTGATATTTTTTTTGTTGATCAGTTCTATGTTTACCATGGACGCGCAAAGAATAGGCAAAGAAAATCAGTCTCATCATCGACAACAACAACAACAACGACAACACCGTCTTCGTCGTCTTAATTTGAATATTTTACATAGCCAATATCAACAACATGCCAATAATTTTGAACCGTTGCAAGACCAGCTACAACATCAACAACAACAACAACATCCGCAACATCAACAACAACAACATCAGCAACAAAAACATCATCAACAGCAACAACAACATCAACAACAACAACAACATCTACAAAAGAAACATCGTTTTTACCATCATTATCATCATCAACAGCAACAACATCAACAACAAAATCGT